TAAGTTTCCCAAGCAATAGAAGAGAAATTAGTCCTGTGTCACTCAAACCAGGACACCAAGTTACTTCTTTCTGCTATGATCTCTTTCAGTGTAGATAACTGATGTTTTCCACATGGCTGAGGTATCTTCTGTAGCTTGTATTTCTATTTCTCCTGTATAGGAACATGAAGTTCATTTTACAGAACTTAACCATTTCTATTCTTGTCCTGCTTCCTCAAACCAGTAAGATGCCCATTTTATGGAGCTGCTTGAAGGTATACTAAATATCCATTTAAATGACTTCTGCAGATGTGCTGCCTATGACCTGGATGTCTACTGTGCTCTCCTGAGTTTTATACGCCTTGCTCTGTAGTGTTGCATTGCATTACAAGCGTTCATCAAAATATCCTTGATTCTGTTACATCAAGAAAAATCAAGTATTGTTGCTCTCTGCAGCCAACACTAAAGAGCATCCCATGGGGTAACTAACACAAATCAAGGAAAGTGAAACAAGCAACCCTTTTCAACAACAGTAAAGCTTTGAGAAAATGGAGAAACTGGGACTGTACAAAAGCAAAAGCATGTTGCTAGGCCATGGTGATAAGCTTTTGTCATTTTTACAGAGAAAATTGCTGGGCATTGAATAAAGTATGGGCAAATGTTTTCATATATAGTTTTTAAGTCATATGTTTAGAATACTAATTTAAAACACTAAATTGTAATGCAAAATAACAAAGGGATTTTGGAAACTATAGCTTCATATTTCATTCTCTACTTTTGATTGTCTGCATTTTAAAGACTATTTTAGAGCTCATATTTAAGAACTGGTATAGAGAGCTAGGAGAAAAAAAATCAACAGAAACTCTGTGATGGAATGGCAATGGCTCTCAAGTGAATAGGGACAGATGTTTACTTCTTTCTAAATGTCAGCAAGGAGCAATAAACTTCAGTTTATTAGAGACACCTCTCCACTACAGAAATCTGAATGTAGCAACAACTATGACCTCAGGGTTACATTATTCCCAAGAATATAGACAGAAGGACACTTAATGCTTATAGATACTTGACTTTTTCCATACTAATAACTTTATGGAAGGTGAATCAAAGGTGGGTTATGAATCATGAGCTTTTGGTTTAGCTTTCGAATGGTTTTTAAAGTTCACATCTGCCTTTAAAATGTGAATTTCTACTCCGGGAACTGTTGTAAAGAAAAACAATGGAGTACGATTGATGTGACTACTATGCATGATCTTGCTTCACAAATAAATAAAAAAAAGTCAGTCTTGAAAATAAGCCTATTTTCAGCCTTGTGCTTTATAAACAAAACATAACCAAGTCTGGAGAATGTTTTTGGAGCAAATAGAATGGGTCAGTCATCTAAGGGTTGAGTTGTCAAAAGATTTCTGGAATTTTCTGGACTATTCATATACTTAAAGATGAATATGCTTTAAATTATTTCACTGTACCAACACTGGGCTGCAGTTTAGAGGCTTAAACCTCAATTCCAGCTTCATCTTCACTACAGGGGAAAAAAACACACAAAATAATTTATACAGCAGCAGACAGATTTTACCAAAACACTTTTCTGAAGAGAAGTTGTATGTGTATATACCTCATTTTTGTGCCTCACTTATTCAATGCATCCTAAAAATGAAAAGTTGGACTGTAGCAAAACAAAGGTAGGAAATGTGCATGAGCACATGAACTGATTATTGTTTCTGAGGTGCTAAGCTAACATTAATTCTTAAATATAAGTGCATTTTACCAACATTATTTTGATTACATGCTTTATTATATATACATTATGTAGTAAGAAAGTCTTTAGTAGTAATAAATATTTTAAATTGATTTCTTGGATTGTGTAATAGTGAGTTCTCTTTCCAGGAACAAAAAATTACCAGTGTAAGTCAAGTATTTTTATTATTGGAACCATATAAAAAATAAGGTACCCAACCATTAGAGTGACCAAAGGGTAGGAGGACATCATTGTGATGTTTTTTCTCAGCAATATCTTCCTGATCAAGCCACTGGGGAGTAAACATGTAGGTCTGGACTTAACTAGGTTCCCAGCTCCTAACTAAACTTACTTATGTTCCCAGCTCCTTTGTAGACTTCTTCCACAATATTTCCCATTGATTGCTATGGAAAATTACAGAGTCAAAATACTTTGTTGGAAGTGAGTGATAACATCTGATAAAGATGACTTTGGATCCTGGCCATAGACAGAAGAAAATTGCATTGCTCTTTCTGAAGTTCATAGGCTGTTCTAGTTTTGACAAAAGTAGAACTTTCCATGTCAAAAGGTGTTCAGGACTAGACTCAATAAAATTATGTTCAAAGAAATGCATGAGGCACATGTTTAAGAGAACTCTTTTCTAAAAAAGATGGAATTCATTTTCCTAAACTGTGATGTAAATTTTATACTGGCTGTTCTTCTCCCACTTTTGTAAGTGCACTTTGTGTATTAAATGATATAATTATTCATACTGAATTCATGAGAACTTTTCCTTCGGAACTTTCTATTACATGAAAATTTTAGCAGTTCACTCAGTCTAGATAACAAGAATAGTGGGTGAAAATGTCAACACCTGCTTGCTTGTGACAATCTTAACAGGAATCATGAGTGCTGTCAACAGCGGAAATTTCCTTTCCTGATGTAAAAGGTAGGGCTGTCAGCTTCTTTTCCTTCAACAGAAAAGCTACACTATGGTTGTGTTCTCTCTTTTCTCCTCAATGCTCAGGGCAGTCTTATAAGTACTATATATGTTACAATACATACATAACAGAAAAGCAGAATTTGAACTGCAAAACTGTCAATTCAATGTCTAAGGAAATTAACAGAACTAATGCACCAGATCACTCATGTTATTTTCATATTGCTTTCCCCTAAAACTCATTTTGGTTTTGTCCCCAGTTTTCCTGCTTACTTGTCTGTAAAACAATCTAATTTTCTTTGGTCACCTTTCAGGCTATACTGTTCCAAAGACAATATTTCTTAAGAAAACAGAAGTGTGAGTGATGAGGACTAATGCAGCATTTCAGATGGAGACTTGCAATCAATGCAGTGTTAGCACTGACTTCAGCAAGGCTAGGGCTGCCCTCCTGACACCCTGGAAAAGAGTGATGGCTGGTAAACAGATATGATTCAAAAGCAAAGCATTAGTGGTATTCAAAAATATTTCTTGTGTCTCATCATATGAAGGAATTCATCGTGGTAAACACAGGCCTCAGCAACACTGAGGAAATCCAGAGAATCTTCTATTCATTTTCACAACCCACTCAGAGCACTTCCAAAAAGTCCGCATTACCTGATGTATTCTAGAAACCTTTAATAATGTTCATTCTCAAACCCCTCACAGATGTACAGGCTAGTAGGTTTGCATGGTAATTGACCACATCAATATAATGATAAGGTATGCACACAGAATAAAATAAAAGCAACCCAAGTCTTTTAGGAATCTTTACTAGTTTATTTTTGCTTGCTATGTCTGTAGCTTCTAACCTGAGTTACAATGGACATAAAAACCAGTTCAATCCAAATAAAAGTTTCTCAGATCTATAGAAATTGAATTGTGCTCTCCCATTAATGTGTTCCTTTGGACATAATGGACCAGATCATACATTGGTTTAATTAAAATCTAGGTCTGCAGAAGTCAATAGCTCTGCGGTCAGCTGATGTACAGCTGCTGAAAAGATGCCTCGATGTAAGTAGCAAAAGGAAAGGTAGGGAAAAAACAAAATCAAATTGTGGACTGCAAAACAAGCAAACAAAAGCTCATTGCCTTCAAGAGCACATCTGAGCCGTTCTGTTTGTGCCTGCTGCTCCCGCAGGAAAAAGTAGCAGTGTGCTCCTCAGTAAAGAGGGCTCTGTTCCAGCAAGCTGTCCCTCCCCAGCCTGTCCCTCCAGCCCGTGCCCAGCCTGCACCCCGGGTCACAGAGGCGCTTTTAACAATTAGCAGTCAAGGTCCCTAAAGAAGAGAGACAAAATACACCATAACCTGCTCCATCCGGCTGACCGGCAATTTGCAAACCCAATGTTTAGGACCCCTCAGGCAAATCTGTTCCACTCACAAGGTGTGTGTGCGCCTGGGTGATTATTTAAATGAGCTCGCATCCCTATTCGGGAGGAAATTTTATATTTCGTCCGGTTCTGAAAAGACTGATCGTTCAGCAGCTCTCATTTGGGCACCTTTAAGAGCTGCCCGGGGGCTGCCCGGCTCCGGGGGATGTCCCCTCGGCGGAGATGGCGTCGTGCAGCGGCGGCGTTTTGAAACACGGGCTTCGTGATTTGAGGCTGAGAAGCGGCCAGACTCGACTCTTCTTTCTTTTCCTTGATTTTTTTTTTTTTTTTTTTTTTTTGGAAGGAGGAACGACGTCTGCCACCCTTTGTCCTGTGAGTTACTGCATATTACGGAATGATTAATGAAAACCTGTGAGTGAGGTGAAAACGGTGAGCGCAGGCGGTGTTCAGTCCGGACAAACTCTTCCTGCCCGCTACCTGTTGAGGTGGGTTTACGCAGGCGCTTAATTACTTCTGGCTTTCCGAAAGAGTTCATTTAAGCCGAGCCGGACCTGCCTGTGGCCGCTCCAGCGCTGCTGCAGGACGCCGCTCCTGAGCCTCCCCGGGAGAGAAGGCAAAAAGGAGAAAGAACTTTTCCGAGGTGGGGACCGGGCTCGGTCTGTTCCGCGCCGCTCCGCGCCCCGCCCCGCGCTCCGGCTGCCGCCCCCCTCCGGGCAGCCCTGCGGAGGCAATTACAATCTAAACCGGGGGGTGGGAAAAAAAATATAAATAAAATAAATCCTCCACCCTTTCTTTCCCCAAGGAAACATCCCCGGGGAGCTCAGTCTCCAGGAGCAGCGGGCGGGCGGCCGCCAGCGCGGAGAAGCGCGGAGGCTCCGCTGCTCCGCGGGGCGGGTCCGGGCGCAGCCGAGGCGGCGGG